CCCCAAATGCGTAAGCTAGCAGCCGCCAGCCACTCACCAGGTCCGATCTGTAATAAAGCAGCTTGAAGATCGCGTGTGAGAAGAAAGTAAAACAAAAAAAAAGCAGAGCAACGCAAACGGGAAGAATATAAATAAATAATTTCATGAAGAATGCTAGTTAGTTCCCGTTAGTAGGATCTATGAACACTACAACTCTCTTCTCGTCTGTGGGGCAAACTTGAGTAGTAGCGCGATTGAGCTGCTCTAAAACCCGCACTCTCAGACCTCACTCTCAATGTGCGTCTTCTTCAGTATTTCTTCCTCCCTTTTCTGACTGAGCTGCCCTCTGACGAGAAAGAATATGAGTTAGGTACTCTAAACTATGTCCCTTTTCTTCCCGAAGGAGAGAAAAAAAGCCACCACTGCTCTTGCGACTCACACCCTTGCTTCGCCTACCTTACTAAGATAAAAAAAAAATTCAAGTCCTCAACATCTACATCTACGCTTGATCTGCAGCAAACCCCTTAATGTCCTCCTTATAATGCTCTCTCGTCCTCTCCTGCGCTGCGCGCAAACAGTCCTCGAGCACGTTCCTATCGCGTGGAATCAAGCGCACGCGGAAATCACGGGGAATGGCCACCAGGGCGGTCTTGAACTGGTTGTAATCGACGTAATCGGTGTTGGGCGGGTGCGTTTCCGAGGCGACGATTTTGTAAGAGGATAGGATGCGCAGGAGGGCTGTGTAGAGGAGACGGGTGGCAATGTGTTGGCCGCTGCAGGCGCGGGAGCCGGCGCCGAAAGAGAGGTGCGTTTGTGAGGTCTGGGGCAGTTCGGTGAAGGGGCCGAGGGGATGCGAGGGATCGATGGGGGCGAGCCAGCGTTCAGGATTGAAGGTGGCGGCCGAGGGGCCGAAGTGCGTGGTGTCGTGGTTGCCGGCTTGGGCGTTGACGAGGATCATGGTTTTGGGGGGGATGATGGCACCGTTCCAGTTTACTTCGGTCACGGTCTTGCGCGGTAGGCTCATGGAACTGACAGTGTAGTATCGGCCGGCTTCTTGGATGATGGCGCGCAGGTAGGGCACTTTTTCTTCCTGGTAGCTGTGTGTCCAGGCGTCGCGGATGTCTGGGTAGTGGCGTTTGATGTCGGCGTAGGCACGCTCTTGGAACATCTGGCCGGCAGGCGTGCTGAGCGAGCCCAGGCACGACGTGAGCGTGCCCGGGATGGTTTCAAAACCGCCACTGACGAGAGAGAGGCAGATAGAAGAGACTTCGACGCCCGTGAGTTTGGTCTCTTCGTCTTTGAGGATGGCACTGCTGATACATGGCTTATCGGTGCCATTCTTAATCATCTCGCGCACCTTGTCGAGCAACAGGTTCAGGTAGACGTCGCGGCGATCGCGCAGCTCTTTGGATTCAGCGTTTTTCTTATTGTTGGGCAAGTATCGCAAGAGGGGAATGTAGTCTTGAAGATTCGTGGACGCGCTGCGTAAGAGTGAGATGGCACTACCGACGTACAAGATCTCGCGCAGGAGCTCGTCGTACGTGTCGTCCATGCGGATGCCATAGCAGAGCGTTAGTGTCGTGTTGAGCGCGTATCGCTGGATATAGGGCCGCACATCAACCTCTACGTTGGGATTCGAGGCCTTACTATCGCGGTGCAAGTCGCGCAGGATGCAGTAGCTCTCGAGGTCAAACATGGGATAGTACCCACGCATGGCCGGACGAGACAATGCAGTTCCAGCAGCCTTGCGCTTATTCTTGCAGCTGTCATCCCAAGGGGAGCTGCCAATGGTGAAGCCTTGGGTGCTGCTTATGACGCCGTGGAAGGTATACAGCTTGGGTCGATCAATGACGGCGTTTTGGTGCTTCACCAGAATGTCGCGGCATGCTTCGAAGGAGTTGAAGACCACGGCCCTGGTATTGCCCAATTTGATCTGAAAAACCGGGAGATCATACTGCCGCCACCATTTCTCGCACGTTGAAGCGTGATCCTCGCCGAGTTGAAGCAGATGACCGAAGATGGGCAGCGATCCTGGAATTTCGGGAATGCCTTTGATTTTTGGAATATCCGTCGAACACGTCCACTGCGGAAAGATTTTTGTTAGGTTGCGTTCACATGGATTTGACGGCGCATACCATCAATGGAGCCACTTGCCCAATACAAAATCATCGTTATCAACACCACTCCTGCAATACCAGCATAGAGGCCATTCTCGCGGACGATGTCGATGGCTTGCAGCCGAATGGAGGTGATGGCACTAGCCATGGTGCAGCACGTTGGACTGACTGGAGCTCGGATACTGTTTTTAGGCGGGCTGAGGCCCACGAACACCTTTTTAAGATGTAAGAATCGGTCGCACACAGCTTAGATCGAGTGATGTTGAATCTCAGGTGCCAATTGTCCGATGAGGACGGACCCGTTGCGCACCACAAGGTCGGGTGACCCGACAGCCTTGGACTGCGGGCTTGCGCTGAGAGCGTAGCTAAGTTTGACGACTGACTGTCATACGCCAAACACTACGAAGTGTACTGCATTCGGTGGGGTTAGATACGCCGCGCCCGCTTCCGTCGGACCCATGCCCGACTTTGCAGATGCGATTTTCGGACGCTCCGAAAGGCGCCATGCATGGGTCCGATCGTGAGCGATAGAACGTCTCTCGATAAGTGTCAAATATACTATGGTACTGTACACACAATGACAGTTCTCCAGGCGCGGGAGACCTTTTCGCTTCATCGCCACACACAGACAGCACCACTACATCACCACTATGTCGCCCAACGGCCAAGCCTTTCTTTTGAATCCCGCTGCGCCTGAAGGCCCTACGAAATTTCCACAGGCCCGAACGATCCCCAGTGGAAGCCGAACCATCTACATCTCTGGCATTGCGAGCGTGCTCCCGGACGGTAGCGTTGCTGGTGTCGAGCACGATAAAACTCCCGACGTCAAGATCCAGACACGAACAATCCTCAGCACCATAGACCAGATCATCGCAGGCGCTTCGGGAGGCAAAGGAGGCGTGCACAACTTGATCGATGCCGTGGTTTATCTCACCGCCATGGAAAGGGACTATTTCGGGATGAATGAGGAGTGGAACAAGGTTTTTGGCAGTCGTGAGGTGGCGCCTGCGAGAGCGACAATCGGAGTGAAGGACTTGCCTGATCCCAATTTCGTGGTTGAGGTCAAGGGAATTGCTATAGTCCCCGAATAGGATCATCGAGATGCAGAGAGGCTTCGGACGTGTGACATGCGATGTCGTGTGCAGAGCTGATGGCTCGCCTGCAATATGTTTGCTTGGTGATGTCACGTTCTGTTGCGAGCAAGGAAGAGGTTTTGTCTGCCATGGCGTGGTGATGTTGTGGTTGTTTGAAGGCAGCACGAAGTAGCAGCGATGGCTGGGGAACGACTGGAGACCACGCCGTCTGTCACCTATCGAGCTACTACTTGGAAGGACGTGAGGGTGAAGTGCTTAGTAATCGAGAACGCAATGCATGTGACACGCGATAACGTTTATCTATTCTGCCCGCAGCCACAACCTGGCAACCCTATCGACCCTCTGTTGTATAAGTGACATAGGCTTGTCTCTGCAACTCAGCCCCACATGGTCGCTCAGCATTCCGCACGATCGAAATCTGATTATGCCTCGAGAGCCTCGTCTGTCGGTCCGCGCCAAATTGTCCTGCTTACGTTGTCGTCGCCGGAAGAAGCGCTGTGATCGCACGCTGCCGCAATGCGGAGACTGCATGGCCAACCAAGCCTCGTGCAGTTTCCTCGGTGAACAGCACGAGTCAGCCTCGTACTCTGTGGCCTATGTTAGCAGCCTCGAAGAACGACTGCGGGAGTTGGAGCAACAACGCCGATCAGAGATCGAGGGTCCTGCACTTGGAGCAATGGCTTCTGAGACGCAAGGCCACTTCCCATCGCCATCGGTGCAGTCCAGGTCGTACCATCGTGATTCAGCAGTCTCGGACAATGAACTGACCGATGAGCATTCAGACACAATTGTGGCGAATGCAGATGTCTTCTCTATGCCCGAAACCACGCCTGCAACAAGACCTCGAACCAGTGCTACCACGCCTGACTCATTCAGTCCTCAAGTTCGCTCCGGGGAGACACTTGCGAGCAATCTAAAGTCCATTTCACTTGCAGCTGTCGCGGAGCCGTACCTCGGTGCCATGTCTGGTTTGACATTCGCCAAACTCACACAAGCTGTGTTACGCCGCCTGGCTCCGGACGGGGGCGACTTTGTGTTCAACCCACAGTTCGATGGAGTGAATTTTCCCGTCGATGGGGTGACAACCACACACCTGGATATCATGAGCAATATGTACTTCGAGTACGACTCGGCTGTTACATCCTCTTGGCTCGCTGGTGACAACGCCATGCCGATGGCCAAGACACTCTTCCCAGTAGAGACATCATTTCTTCTCTCCCTCCCCGAGCGCTCTGAGGCGATGCGACTGGCAACATTTTATTTCGATCATTCACACACTCTGTACCCCATTGTAAGCAGAAGAGAGGTCATGTCGGATTTGAATTGGGCTCTTGAGAACCCGGATCGTCTGCCCACGCAGTCCCCGCCCAGCGCGTTCAGGATATGGATGATTCTGGCAATAGCATCTACAGCCCACTCATCAATCACGCTCAATGAAGAGTCGACTTCGAGACAGTACTATGAGAAGGCAATGACCTATTTTGAAGCGGCGATGGACTACGGAGATATTGCTGCACTGGAGGCGATCATGTTACAGGTGTCGTACTCGTTCTTCAACCAATTAGGCCCCAACACATGGTTTCTTGTGGGAACAGCTGCACGTTTGGCCATCGGCATGGGCTTCCATTGCGAGGCAACTTACCACGGCTTACCAAGAGAAGATATCGCACGACGTAAGCGGCTCTTCTTTTCGATATATATGATGGATAGACTGGTGTCAATCACGCTGGGCCGACCTTTCTCGCTGCATGAGGACGATATTGATATTAGTTCGTTCGCCATCGATCTGGACGATGGCCTTGATGCTGATCCAGACGTCCCTCAAAGTACGCTGTGCCAACCTCCACTAGCCATCACAGCTCATATACTGCGACTCCGCAAAATTGCAAACGACATCGCCGCCAAGGTTTACTGCAAGCGCGTCGTCGCACGATTGACCGAGCATCAACGACGAGAGGTCCTGACTTCTCTGCACCAAGATTTGGTCGAGTGGCGACAAAGCGTGCCTTTCCCGCTGCCAAACCTTCACCGCTTGGTTCCCCAAGGCTGCATGTCATGGTATGACTTGAACTTCTGCACACATCTCACGGCCCTCTACAGACCATCTCCGCTGTTTCCTACCCTGGACGTTTCAAGAGTCGCTATCCTGGCGGAAACATCAGCCATGGCTGTTCGTCATGCTTCTAGCATGTATATGCAGAAGCGCCTGTCGTTCAATTGGCTGACAATGCTAACACTGTACAATTCGGTCATCGCGCTGGTATACTCGGTCACGGTACAGCCTCAGAGCATTGCCACGACCATAGAACGGTCAAGTGCCATCGAAGATCTCGAGCTTGCGACGGACATATTCAAGGCGCTTGGACAAAAGTTTCCGGCTGCCAGAACTCTCGACATGCTGGTAGCTCAAATAATTGAGAGGTACAAGTCTGTGAGCAGCGTCTCACTGCATTAAATAATGTTCATTGTCACGTCTGCATGATATCATTGAATGGATCTTACATTTTTTGAGCCTGCTTGTGATGTCTCGTTGCAGTTGACCTCCGTCGCGATAACTCTACTGCAGCGAAATTCTCCGCATGAGCCTGAATTCAGTATTTCGATCGAATCAGCTGACCTCAATTCTTGAACGACGAGTCTAGGTGCTCTTCCAATTTGTAGCTTGGTTGGAATTCGACGAACAGCGTGTCCTGCGGTGATGGTCAGTCATTTCTCACATGCAGACCCTGTGCTTGAGTACCCACTGGAGTACTAGCCGTGCGGAAGGTATTTGATGCTTCCTCCTCAGGCACGATCCTCTTCGGTAGTCCAGCAGATTCAACCATCAACTGAATACGACAGCTCTTCTCTAGAAGGGTGTACAAATATGCAGCTTCGTCTACAGTCTGGCCAACTGTGATCAGGCCATGATTCACCAAGATCGCCGCTTTATTGTCTCCAAGGGCGTGCGCAATATTGGTCCCTTCATCAGCTGTGAAAGCAATACCTCCAAAGTTGTCGTAGACAGAATGAGCTTTATAGAAGTAGCAGACGTCTTGACTGAGCATATCCAGTGGTCGCCCAAACGCCGCCCATGCTTTCCCATACAGCGAGTGGGCATGGCATATCGCATGGGCATCAGGCCGCGCCAAATGGCATGCTGTATGTATCGACACACCTGCGGCATTAGCCGGCACTGACTATATCCCACAGAATCAGTCAGCGAGTCGCAACACAATAGCACTGGATCGCAAAGTCACCCACCTTATTCCCTGCAACGACGTTGCCTTGCATGTCGAGACAAATGAGGTCACTGACTCTCATCATCGAGAAATGCACCGCTAACGGATTTATCCAGAATCGATCGGGAAACTCTGGGTCCCGAACGCTGATGTGTCCAGCGATGCCCTCGGCATAGCCCTCACGGCCGAACACTCGAAAGGCGCCTGCGAGATGCTCAAGCAGCCATTTGCGTTTGGAAGCTATCGAGTCAAACATGGGAATTGCTTCGACAGCTATGCCCTGATGACCCATGGCCTCAAGCGGCGAGAGCACCCTCTGTTGGACATTTTCGCTGATCATCTTCGGTGTCTCTCTAGTGGTACAAATCGTGGAACTCATGTCGATGGTATGGGAGCTTGCTCAGCAGGACGTCGGTGGTCGAAACACCGATTACAGACGAGAATCCAAGATTCAATGCACCCGAATCGCAGTTGTCTCGTTCTTGAAAGAAATTTTCTGATTCTAGAGCTATGTGGTAATGACGACAGTTGTACATAGCTATCTCTGTTTAAACAAAGAGCAATGTGCCCACGCTGCTCCAGATACTGCTAAAGCCGGGCCCAATCAAGTCTAGATACCAGCGTGGGCCTGTTGGTGCTTGAGACCAACACCTCGGCCATGATTGTCCGACTTCCATGTCAGAAACAGTATCCCCTGGGATAGAAACGCCATGAGCAGCATGATCTGCGGCCTGCCCCACCAGGAGAGTTCGCGGTTTCGGACCGTCCGCTTATCGCAGATACGACTCGGACTTTCCGATCCTGATCGTCGCAACGATGTCCAACCCCAACAATTAGATATTCCGGTTGGACATCTACATAGCGCAGACAGGCCCGACAGCAGAGCAAGCGCCCAGTGAGACGCTCGCCCTGGTTCATGTGGCCTTGCACTGACTTGGTATTTTTCGATACTCTCTTTCCCCGCGCCCTACCGCACCCATGATCCCGCTCATAGCATTCTTGGTGCTGCTACTGCTGACAGTGCACCGTTTCGTGATCAAATCACTATATCTGAACGAACTGAGCAAAATTCCAGGCCCCAAGCTATATGCAATCACTAAATGGCGCCTTGCACTGGATGATTGGCGAGGACTTCGAACGCAGACGATCGATGCTTTACACAAGCAGTACGGGCCAATCATACGGATTGGCCCGAACGAGATTCATTGCAATAGTCTCACCGCCTTGAAGACTATTTATGGGGCTGGGAGCGGGTTCGAGAGGACCTCATTCTACTCCATGTTCGATGTGTATGGCAGACAGAATCTTTTCACGTTTTCCAGCACCAAGGCGCACGGCGATCGCAAGAAACTGGTCGCTAACGGCTATGCAAAGTCGGTCATTATGCGCAGCTGGGCTGCGGACTTGGTTAAGAAAAAGGTCTCGCAGTATCTGGAATTGATTGAGACGAGGGGTGCGGAGCCACACGAGATCTTCTCGAGCTTGCATTATTTCTCCATCGACAGCATTACGCACTTCTTGTACGGGTCGAAGCATGGCGGCACCACCGCGTTGACACCAGACTCTCTCGATCAAGGATTACTGAATGACATACTCGATCCAGCTCGACGGCAGCTGAGCTGGTTTGTAGTGCACTTGCCGTCTCTTACCAAATGGCTGTACTCGAGATCAGGTTACATGGAGCGCATCATTCAGCCACTACTTCCCATGCAAAAGCCGGCAACGTACACAGGAATCCGCACTCACGCTCTCCGAGCTTTGCAGAGCTTCGATGCTGCTGTCACAGTTGATCCTTTGACTACTGCAGCAGAACCAACAATCATCGCGCAATTGTGGAAGTCGCACAACAGCGTCAAAGGAGCTGTAGCTGGGAGTCTCGACTCTCTAGACATTGCATCTGAATGCGCTGACCACTTGCTCGCTGGCATCGATACGACGGCGGACTCGCTCATGTTCCTTATCTGGGCTGTTTCGCGGCCTGAAAATGCATACATACAACGGCGCCTAATTGGCGAGCTCAACTCGTTGCCAGCTGAGGTATTTGAGCAAGGAGTTCCAGGGCTTCATGTCGTCGACTCGTTACCATATCTGAACGCAGTCATACGTGAGACACTTCGCCTATACAACCCATTACCGGCTTCTGAACCTCGTTCAATTGGAATGGATCGGGTGATTGATGGCTTTCAGATCCCAGCGGGCACAGTCGTCAGCATGTCCCCGTACTCGTTACATCGCAACGCCGATGTATTTGAAGACCCTCTGCGATTTCACCCTGAGCGATGGCTGAACAGTTCGCCTGACAAAATTGCAGAGATGAATAGGTGGTTCTGGGCGTTCAGCAGTGGTGGAAGAATGTGCATCGGCTTACAGTAAGTACTTGTCGCCGGATCATAGGCTTCGCGAGGAAGGACCTGACATCGTATGCAGCTTGGCCATGGCGGAGATGACGGCTCTAGTCGGTGCAGTGTATCGGAGATACGTGACGTCAATCGCACCAGGCTTCGAAAACAAATCTCCAGCGATCACATCCAGGTTTGAGACGTTTTACGATGTGACGTTTCCGGAGATCGAGGTGAGTTTGGGCATATGTTGCTTTTGACGCTATCTGGGCTGACAGAAGTCAGGAGCATATTTGCATGATCATCTTTAAACGGCAGCAAGCCATATAGAATTCTAGGATCTTGCAGTATTTCTTTGCGACGTGACACTAGTGATGGACCACGAGGAGCAAAGTTCCCCGTGTGTGACGCCCTACATGTCGTTGTCGATCTCGGAGAGAGCTCCAACCCTCCATGCGTCCATCAACGACGACATTGCTCATCCAGCACAGCGCTTTGTCCCATTTCTCGCAGTGGCGTATCCAGAAACACAATTCGGTGCAATTGTAACACATTCCACAGGAGAACATCTGTCACTTACTTTTCACATGTTTCCAAGAAACACGTCTCTTCATCACTTCCCGCAGTCCTCCCCTCCCTCTCTCCCTTCCCAAGCTCATCAACCAACACCGCCAAAATTAGCTCCCACACTTCCACCCTCACCCGGATATTGACGAAAACCGCTCGTACCATGGCCTAGAAGTCGTCAAGCGTCATCAGCGCCGCCCTCATTGATAGACTCGCCCATAACGGCCTCATAACCAGCGAACGAGTCAGAAACGCCATGAAAAGCGTCCATCCCTGCGTCTCTCTCACAGTCATCACTCATCACGATAAGTAACTGGCGAGTAGATCGTGATTAAATTTATAACACGACAACTTTATAGCGCTGCTGTTATCTATAGATCGTAAAGCTAGATAACTACTAGTTAACTATAGTGTAAGGGGCTGCGCTCTAGGGAGTAAACGCGAGGTATATAAGAGGTTATATTTAATAGA